TGCACAGCGAGGAGGTAGTGGGAAAAAAAGGGAAACCTTAGGGAACACTAGGATGTGCTAAAAGCAAGCCAATCAGCTGTTCGGTCTGCAGAAAGCAGAGACGGCTCACCCTGTGGCATCTCTCAAAGGCATGACGTGTCTCCTGCAGCAAGTTAACAACCAGTTCTGGGGACAAGAAGGTCTCCCCGTGGGTGTCGATGCTGGGGCCCAGTGGAAGATTGGTGCGCTGTCTGATCCGCTCTTTCAGGTCTTGAATGCTTTAAGAAGACAATTAACATTTCCAGAATTTATTATAACAGGTGACAAAGCTGAAGTTGAAAACAGACCCGCTGATGCCGATGGGGCGTTTCTGGTGGTTCTTGGAGTCGTAGTATCGTTGCAGAATCTGGCCGCCTCGAGTGCGAAGGTATTCCCTTTCCATGTTGATGTAAGTCTCCAGGTAGGAGGAGAAGATGCTCTTTATCAGCTTGGACAGGAACGTATGCTTGTCTGAGCCCAGGTTGAACTCTGTCAGCTTTGTAGCTAAAGCTGTGGTCCTGAAAGAAAATCACGACGAAAAATTAATCACAATGATATCTGCAAGAAACCAACAAATCACAAGTGAAGAAGTGGCTTACTTGGTGTAAAGGTCATAAAGGTTTTTGAGGTACTGCTCCACATCAGAATGTCGAGTCTCGTCCAGCTTCTCTCTAACGTGAGCCTGCAGACACAAAGTCAGATGTAAACCACTACGTACAAGAGCAGCGCACATAAAAGGCGGTAAAACATACCTGCAGCTTGTTTTCAAAGATGTTTTGGATGAGTTTGGCCATGACGGTCTCTGGACTACTGAAGACCTCGCCCACCTGCTTGTTCACCTTCTGGCAGAGAGCCGCAGTGTCCTCAAACACATCGTTCCGCAAGTAGGCGCCCTTAGACGAACGATTACAAAAAAAAAACAGAAAATAAACATGTAAATGTTTGATCTTTTAATACATTAGAGGATTTCATTAATAACTTTTAAACTCACTTCCTGACACTGCTTGATGTACACATCCACACAGTGAGCGTAGCCCTTTAACAGAAAGCCACAGGTGTTACCTTTATGGACCGTCGTGTAACATTACACACTTCACATGTCAGTAATATCACGAGCTGCAGAAGATTGAACGCGTCTCTTCTGGGTCACCTTGAAATGTAGGAGAACCGCTGCAACCTCCCGCATTCGGCCAATTTCACCCCTACGCTGGGCTGCGGTGAACTCCTGGATTAGCTGCCGCTCCAGGTCGTGGTATTTACCTGAGCAGAATAAAAAACAAAACAAACAAAAAAAGTGTTTTAAGAAGAAGCTTCTATTATGCTGAAAAATAACCAAGCTAATGAGGATTTTCATAAACGTACTTGCGATTTTTGCCTTGACACCTGAAAATCTGTCACAGATAAATCAGAAAGAGTAAATAATACAGAATTTAAGATGTATAAAGGTTTTAGGGGTTGTTTTGTGAGGACAAGACAACATAACTAATGTTTGTTGTTTGACAGCGTTTAAAGCTGCCTCCAGGAGGCCTGACTCACCTGTCGAACGGCAGCTCCTGGGCAATGAGATGCAGCTTCTGAATGATATCAGCAGCCTCCTTAATCTGAAGGAAACAGAGAGAGAGAGAGAGAGAGAGTGAGTGTGTGTCAGAAAGAGAAAAATTGTCAGGTGAGCGGGGGGGGGGGGGGGGGGGGGGGGGTGTTGCACGAGGTGGACGTCCATACAGAAGGTGGGCCGGCCGCCGGCAGTGTCTCCACTTGAGGGATCATCATCTTAGCGCAGCCTTCCTCCACCTCTCTGTGTTAAACAGGAAGCTGATAACAGACAGGCCGCGCTCACCTGGGCCCTGGCAGCAGCAGTCCTGACTTAGCAGCACACCCAACTCTTTATTGGCATCCCTGTTCTGAATGGGCTGTAATCCCACAGGAGCCTAAATCGCTTTCAATAATCTGTCCGGCCAGGGATATCTGTTTGAAGAAAAAAAAAAAAAAAAAAAAAGGAGGCTCTACCGAGACACCCCCTCCTCACCCCACCCCTCCATACACGCTGGTTGAAAAAGCCTCAGACCTACGAAAAGACCCACCGTCCGCAACTCCTGTGTTCCTGCAGATGCCTGCCTCAGCTAACATCATTACTCTGCTCCCGTGAGGAGGATCCAGCCTTTCTGCTCGGCAAAGGTTTTCTAAGTATCTGTCCCCCAGCTAAGATTAGCTAAATCCCATGTAAGTAATGTAGCCGTCTCCCTGCAGTCAGGGTTTAGCAGCACTTGTCTCCACGCTGGCGGCCCGGCCCTCCCTTTCAGAAGGATTAGCAAAGCCATCCCCCTTCAGCTATTCACTTGCAGCTTTTCTACTTCCCCTCTCGGATGGAGGTGCGCTCAGGAAAAGGAATCCGGCCAAATATTTCTGCATGCCTCTCCGGAAAACCAGCTCCATCTCTGGGATTGACCACACACTCACTTCTCCACATCCAGTCATGAAGTACCAGCTAACGACTAGTAATCTAAGGAACGCAAATCTCTCTGTTATCATGACACAACTGCAGAATCAAACTTTTACGAGTCACTTGTGTGACAAAAAAAGTGGGAAAAGGTGTGCGTCTCATTTCCCAGCTTAGGCCAGAGTTGGTTTCTCTGCCCCGGTAGCATCCTGCTGCAAAAATCCAGTTCTAAAAAAAAATAATGAATCGGAGGTCATTGCTCCCGCCTACTGTAAATACAATTAGTTTTGACACGAGCATGTTGACACCCATGCTAGCCAATCAACAAGCTATTGTCAAACAGCAAAGACACTTCATTAATCCAAATTGGCTGAGGGATTCGACTAAACGGATAAACTTGACAAATTAACATGGATGGTTTGCCTCGTAATCCTGTTCATACTCACCTCCAGCAGTATCACAGCAGGGGCTCTCATCAGTGGCCTCACACACGCACATACACACACACACACCTCTCCCAATTTAAGACAGAAAGTAACATGCTGCCTACTCACCTTGTCGGGGTTGTTGAAGACATCGCTGCGTAGGTCTCCATCCAGGAACTCGTTGAAGTAGGTCATCAGACGCTGAGCCTCTACAGCTCTTTGGCGAGGCGTGTTCACCCCCTCCAACTGGTCCCCTAAGTGACAAACCTTAGTAGCCACATAGCTGATGTGCTCATCGAGCTCTTGGAAATGCTGAAAGGCCACCTGGATTGATACAATGTGAACATACTTGTAATAAAATTAGTGAAATTGTAATGTTTTGAAAATGTTTTCTTTAGTCAACAACACACCTGGTTGCTTCTCTGCAAATCTTGCACTTTGTGGGCAAACTCCTTGGCCTCGCGATGGCACTGATTCTCAAGCTTCTCCACCTTCCGCTGAATCTTCTCATCCAGCTGCTTCAGCTCCTCGATGTGGTTTGTAAATTCATCCAGAAGCCTGTCGCAAAGGAGAAGAGATATGTGCATGTCCAAACAATGTCACAATTAATATAAAACTTGAGGAATTAGAGGAAGACTTGGGTATCAGAAGGTTACGTCTGTCCTACTGACCTCACAGTTACTGATAACAGTTACAAAATAGCGCTGGATGCTTAATTCTTGGGTCCCCAGACTTAAGAAGCTGTGAAAACTAGCAGCTTCGTCAGCGGCATTTAGAGTGCCATTAGGACTGCAGAGCAAATGTTCTAAGTCAGCAGCACATTTCACAGAGTAGGAAACATCCCCAAATGATGAGTGTATAATCTTCTGACTAATTCCTTCAGCACTGGCTACAGCTTAAAGTCATCTTCTCTCAGCAGACACTCATTCCCGGGATGGTGACTCACAGTATGGTGGCCTCCTCAGATATGTTGTCTCCGACTCTTCACTAAGAGCTTCCGAGGAAGTGGTGGCAACAGTTTGTGGTTGAAGAAGATAAAACAGGGAATGGATCTACAGCAAAGTTTAACTGGTGTGGCATTTTTGCTTACAAGGTTCAACTCAGTCCCCCGTGTAAACATCGTAAAAAAAATGGAGGGGAAAGCGTGCAAAGGATTTGTAAACATATTTATTTCTCAATTTCTACAACCTGTCAAAAACTATAAGTCAGTGCAAACAAGGCGGAGACGTGCTTCTGCAGGCACAGCAGGACTGAACACTCTTAGAAAACTGCTAATTTTCAACTGGCTTTGACAAAACAAAAGTTAAGTCATTTTAAAATGATTTCAGTTATACTCTCTAAATGTTTTATTCCAAAATTTAAGGAGAAGCTGAAAAAAACAATTAAAGAGTTAGGAATTATTACAATGGGGTTAGAAATAATAAAAGAAAATAGGTGTTTTATGACAAAAAAAAGTTAAATTAATGATTTTCCCTTAGTGATACAGACATAAATGTGTAAAAAAGCCTCTACAACATGATCAGTTTTGTCTCTTTTTTTAAAACAGAGATGACAATGCAAAAATGTAAATGTAAAACCAAATTAAAAACAACAGTAATCAAGTTGCATCCCATCTACAGCTGCAATACAAACTTCCACAGAGAACATCAGTATATCAAAGAGGAGCACAAAATGCATAACATTTAGGAAAGTAACTTAGAAAAATTTATGAAATCAAATTGCTAAACACCAAGAAACAAGTGTGTGTACACACAAACTGACAATTGTTCTTATTTCTCTTTAACAATAATGATTTTTTATTTTTATTTTGTGTCCTCTGCACAGAGGAGACACTGGGCTGCAGATGCAGAATAACTTTTTGAGACATTTGTCATAAAGCATTTAGCTAATTTTTACGTAAAAACACAATGCTGATGTAATGTAACGATTGTGTTGTATTTTTATAAACATTTGATGTACAACACTTGTGTAGTTTTTAAATTAAATCTGCAAAAAATGGCTTCGTATGACCAAACAGTCTAAGACAGTCAGTGAAATGAAGAGTAGCTTCTGGGACAAGCTGATGCCCCTCAGCCTCATAGAAAAGGGCAAAAGTAACGTCCATACCTTTTGGGGTCAAATGCCTCAGCTCCTCCTTTTGAGCCTCCACCGGGTGTCCTCCATGCCAACCTTTCTATGTACTCATCTGCATCAAAAGGCTCCTGGGGAACCGGCAGACAGAAAAAAGACAAAACACGATTTTACAAAGCGATTCTAAAACTGCACAATCTATGCTATTTGATTAAAACAGAAATCAAAGGTGCGCAGTTTGTTGTTTTGCACGCAAATAAAAATGCTGACATTTCCGCAAAGTCACACAAATGAAGAACGATTGTCTTCATTGTCTAGTAACTTACGAGATGACACAATCACATTGAACAATCCGAGTCGTTACTAACGATAAATTACACAATGAGAAGATAAACAAAGTCAGAACCGTTAAGTTGCCGTAATAATAGTTAGCCACTTGTTAGCCGAGACAAATTTATATTACCTCGAACAGCTGAGCGGTTGTGGCCATGTTCAGGATTCAGTCGGCAATATTTATTAGGCAGAACAACCAGAAGGCGGCTCGATAGCCGACCACAACATTTATTTGGAGATTCCGCACAATGTTGCTTTTTGTTGACAGCTAGCTTGTTCCAGTTTCCTGTAATGGGTAGAGAAGGGTGGGAGGGGGGGGGGGGGGGGGGGGGGGGACAGATGCTTGAACAAGCGCATGCGTATGTGTCAGCTGACTAGAAGTAGCCGTCACGTGGCACAACAACAGGAAGTGGCTTATGTGGAAACTGAACGGCTCAAACTTGGCCAAATATGTAAATAATAACGTACTAGAGCGTAAATTTTGCATGGTTTTATGATTTTATTTCAACAGGACAAATGGGTTTACGTGTTTTGTGGATAATTTCTCACGAAGGGGGAGAAAATGCATCCATTCGCTTCTCAAGGTTTGTTACTTCCTTTCATACACATCAACTTCGTGTCTTTTGGTAATGAAAACGGAATGATTTATTTACTCATATAGAGTTTTCATTAAACATATTGCTGTGTGTGTGTTTGTGTGTGTGTGTGTGTGTGTGTGTGCGCGCGCGCGCGTGTGCGTGTGCGTTATAAACATTTTCACAGTCCCATTACTTGTATCTAGATGTGCTTTGTGATGCTCTGTCTCTTACAGGAGGTTTCCTACAGTGGAGCACCGTGCTAGAAGCTTGTCTGGCTCTTCCTATGTAGCAGTCCCAGAGGACAGTCTGATCCTCCAGCCTCTGCTCACAGAGTTGGGAATTTCCAGCTCTAACAAGTCATATGTGGCTCAAAGAGATGATTGCATTTACCGTCCCCGATCACCAGCTCTGGAGCTGCGTCTGGATGGAGAGAAAACTCTTTGGCCTGTACTGAACATCTCTCAGGGGTCCCTCATTCTGGCTTGCTTGCCCTTAGTGGATGTCCCCTCTGAAACTCGGCCACCTCTGTCCAGTTTGTTGTCAGTGTCCCAGGGTCTCACACTCCTGGCAGGGCTGCAAACATTTCTTCTTGGCTCAGGAGGTAAACCTTATGGCGATGGGCTCATCTCTCGTCTGGAAATGTTGCCCTCTGCCCTCCTGCAGGTTTGTCCACTTGGCACGCCCCTTGATGTACCACTTGTGGGAGTACCCACTACACCAGCAGTGCCCATCCCCGCTGGCACCCAGAAGCAGCCAGCCTGGAAGACGGGCCTACACCGCGGCCGAGCCATGGTGAATGTAGCGGTGACTGAAACGGTGCGCTCTATGCAGTACGGTAACCAGAGCAGGCAGGACTTGTGGGATGTTTATGGCACTGTCACATGCAAAGTAAGTGTGCAGTGTAAAAATAAAACTGGTAATGTTACAACATTTTGCAAGTTTCTTTCTATCATTCTCTACTTCTGTTAACAGTGTGAAGTTGAAGGCGTGCTCCCAAATGTGACAGTGACCCTGTCCCTGCCTCCCAATGGCTCTCCACTGCAGGACATCCTGGTTCATCCCTGTGTGACCTCACTGGACTCTAGTATCTTGACTTCCAGCAGTGTTGATAATCTGGACGGCTCCGCTTTCTCTGGTCCTTATAAGTTCCCCTTCTCTCCTCCTCTGGAGCCCTTCCGACTCTGCAGCTACACTTCTCAGGTATGTCTTTGAACACAAGACGTAGCGCTGTGACATGTGCATCGATTAGCATAATCATATTAAAAATGTCCTCTCAGGTCCCTGTTCCCCCCATCCTAGGTTTGTATCAGCTGAAGGAAGAAGACAACCAGCTGCGTCTCACAGCATCTCTCAAACTCCATGAAACTGTGAAGAACAACTTTGAATACTGTGAGGCTCACCTGCCTTTGTTCAACAGGTAAACAGCAAAATGTGTTTTTTTATGATTACTGATAATTAAAGTGACCAGAAACTGACATGTAGACATGAGGATGAATTAGAAGCATTTAGGAAAATGTTAAATTCAAAACTTGAAGTCACAAAGTATTAAAACTTCTTTATAGATATATTTTAAATCAAAAGAAAATATTAAAATCTAGGAATTACTTAGCTTGTTGAGAATTGTGAACATTTCCTGTGTGATCATTAAAACTGCTACCATGCGTGTTTTATTCAGGAATCAAATGGGGGGTGCGGATGTGAAGGTAAGCTTTGGACAAGTAGACGTGTCGAAAGAGAAGAACCTGCTGGTCTGGGCTTTGGGTATGTACCAGATTCTACAGCCTCAGGTGAAAAAATATTCTATTAATTCAGTTTCATTGATAATAAAACAAAAACAGCATTTTTTTTCTTTCTGATATGAAGGCCAAAAGTTCCCAAAGTCTCGCGAGGTTTCGCTGGAGGCTAAGATCAATTTTTCTGGGCAGTCACCGGGACCTTGTGACCCTCTCTGCACAGGACTCACTGCCTACATTAAGGTAAGTCATTATGATGGTGGGATCTTCAGGCAGGAAAGTGACGGACACTTTATTTTTTACAGTTACATTTTAAAGTGCCTGACATGACGCTGTCTGGGTGCAGCGTGGATCAGCATTCGGTTCAAGTGTATTCCTCCTCCAAACCTCGGATTGCAACATGTAAGCCTTTTAGTTTCTGTTTGAAAACAGGCGCTGTAAGTGCTGTGTCTTACGTGAAACTGAAAATGATGTTCCTGTTTGGTTCTCAGCTCGCGAACTTCTTTGCAAAGAGTACTACATATGGAATTCAACAGGTGCTGCCCCGGTGTCCGGCGCACAGATGACCACGTAGAAGACACCGGCTCAGTGGGATTCATGAGACTGAGATCCCCGCTGAGCATTTATTATCAGGGCGGGAATTTATTGAGGTTAAAGTGAACTGAAGTCGTTTTTAAAATGGGGCAAATTAAGGATGGAAGATTGTTGAGGAGGGATCTCCATTCACGCCCTTTTAGTTCAGCTCTTTTCCTCCAACTTTCCATCAGATTTGCAGACACAAGGCAACCCTTTGCTCCAACAGTCCCACCTGAGCGACTCTCCATCAGCCGTATAATGAGCAGCTGGGACCTTGTCATCAGCTGCTGCAGGCCTGGAGGAGAGGCCGGCTGGACTGTGAAAGCCCAGGCTTCTCTGGCCACTATCTTGACTACAAAAGGTTTCTTAGCTACTCCAATCACCCCTCCACCACACACACCTCTTTTGCCTCCTCCTTTTTTGGCCTGTCAGCTGGTGGCTCGTTCGATCAGACAACCTCTCCATGCAGACTGATTGAGCTCTGACCCTTTGGCCCTCTGAGACTTAAAAGCAACCGGTCCCTTTCAGTGAGTCGGACCTGCCTAATTGGTGAAAAAGTCACAAGAACGGTAATGGTTGAGTTCCTGTCAGAGGTTGTAGGAGGCCGTTAGATCATTTAATGTAGAACTCTGGGTTTAACTGTTTATTAGCTTGATGTACAGAAATCTCAAGAACTATTTGTTTTAAGCTCTTTCTACCATTTATAACTAACGCGAGTTGCTCTTTGACGTGTTTACAACAAACAGGCTTCATCTGAGTTTATGAAGCTGAATGATTAACAGGCTGAGGAAGGGTTAGATCAGAGAAGATTGAGCCCCACGTTTCCACAGCAGCCAGACGCCTCTGAGTGGCCTCATTGTCTTGCCGTTGGCCTCTTGTGCCCGTCGCTGGTCCAAATGCTACATTCTCACGTGGATTTCCACTCAGAAGGCCGACCATGACCAATCCTTAGTCAATTGGAACCAATTGCTCACACGGCATCCTTCACCTTCTTTTATGTAGCAGTACGGAGTGGCAGACACCGAGACCTCATGGGTCCCCCTCAGCCCAACACAATAATTTGGCTTTAAGGTCCAGTGTGTGTGGCTAGCGAACCGGAAAAGAAGACGTTTTTTTTTTTTTTTTTTGATGAGTTGGGTCACTCTAAATCTCGTGTCGCTGTATGTGGTCAGTCTGGCTCCTCAAGTCAGCAATCAGTGGCCTCTTTCTGGCAGAGCGTCATTTGTAGGTCCAATTGCTCACCAAGTATCATTTTAGAGTGTATCTCTGCCTTAGTGCCTTCAAGCCAAACATTCGGGCAGTAATTATCTTGTTTCTAATGATTATTTTATTGCATCACTGTTTGATCTTCTATATGTGGAACACGTGCGTTCTCCAGTGATCAAAATTAAAGTCAAATGGGTCAAAATCAAATTGTGGTTTGTGACAAATAATTTTAGAAAACCATGAAATTGCATGTTTATGTTCAAACATGATGTGACTTTTATCTACTTTCAGCACAATAATGACATCCAGTGGCTGAACAATAACATTCAATTATGATTATCTTGATTTCTTTAACAAATGTAAATGTTCAGAATTTCAGACTGAATAAAGTTCCTCTGCTGCATTTTTCTGTTTTTTTTTCCTTTCTGTTGTTTGAAAACCAGGATTTAGTTCTCACTGTGGTCCCTGGGTGACCTGCTTGCAGGAGCCAACCTACACGATAGTAGAAAAAGTTTTTTAATCTGATTATTTATGAAGTAATATTTTATTAGTACATAACATTTGAGTGAACCAAACGTTTTTCCACAATAGATTTCACAATTGAAGTTTGTTTTGCAGGTTCGACATCATCAGTATACATTCAGATGTATTTGTACTGCATCACTTTCCCCTGTAGAGGGCAGCAGAAACTCAGGCAGCGAAACAAACCCTGAATTTAGAGATTTTTGATCATATTGAGAATTTTGCAGAATCATTGAGATTATTTAAGAGTGAAAAGACAAATTCATAGTCAAATTAAATGATGTCATAGAAAAGTTTGACTTGAGGCAAGTAATGGAATTAATGCAGTTTTTTTCAATCATTTATTTGAATGTATTTATTTGGAGCTACTTGTGGATCTTTGTTTCTATGACCTAAACAGTTTCTTCACATTTTACTTCCAGGATTTGAATAAAATGTGTTTTAACTTTGTTAGTAATCCGTTTTCTTTGCAACTCTGACATTCAGAGGGATTCAGCTCCGGAACCACAAGAAAAGCAGCATAATTAAGACAAGCCACTGCATAAGCTACATTTTTAAAACATGTAAAGTTAATTTGAGGGCATTTAATTCAAATGAAACCATCAGTCAGTTGGTTTAGGGAGCAATTATTTAATCTACCTCTAACTGGGTAACATTTTTATTGGTTTCCTTCAAATGAAGATATTGAATACTCTGCACAGTCATTTCTAAGAAAGTGAAAACTTCTAATCTACAGCTATTTTTCCCTTTGTGCCAAACAAAAAAGAACAAAAATATAAAAATGAAATTATATTTAAAGGGTCTAGTATATAATGTGCTTTTAAGCAACTTAATTTTGTAGGAGATGGGTTAAAAGTGGGCAGACCCCTGAACAGATGCAAAGAATTTCCATGAATCGTAATAATAAAAAAATGAAAATGGCATATTTGAAAATCTTCTTTGCAAATCCAGCACCACTGAAGGTCTTGTCTTGCTAACTTTAGGAGAAACAGACACATTTTGTGTGATTCCTTTTGGGACGTCTTTTCTCTCCAGTTTTGTTCAATTTGAATTGATCTAAATGTGTTTTGTATGGATGCATTGTGCTTTATAATAGTTTTTCCACCATGAAGCTGATCTATTGTAATTAAATGGGTGGTTTTGTTGGACTGTGGGCCTCAGCTTCCCTCTGGGCTCCAGAAGTTAGGCTGGGCTATGTCCATGTGACTTTGTCTCAGTAGAAGTTTGTCTCTGTGGAAGTTTTCACTGGTTTCATCCTCTGGATCTCCTCTGCATTCGGATCTCCAACTGAAAAGAAATAAGATCAAAAAGTTGGAGTGAAATCACTAAATAATCGAGAATTAACTGTCAACTGTCCTCTTACATGTGGAACGTGCGCCCTCTGCTGGCTACAAAGGGAGGACGAGGAGTTGCTGCCCCCAGTGTCTGATAGCTATTACTACACTTTTATCCCATTTTAGCCATTTTTATTTAAATGTTTTTAATTTCGTTTTCTTGGGAACATTAAGGAGGATTAGAAGGAGAAGATGAAACTGGATTCCTACATTTGCAAAAGTTACTGATTAGAAACACTTTCTCTACAATTACTTCAAAATAAAATGCTATGGCATTTTGGTGTTGGCAGCAGGGAAAAAACACTCCAATGGTTATTTTTTTTTATCACTTAGCTAACTCTGTTTATGCACAAGGGTTTATCACGCTGGTTGTGTGGAGAGGCAAGTCCAGCTAGCTAAGCTGACTGCTGATGATGAGATTGTTAGGTGAAATCCATGTGTGTGTGCACAAAGAGTGGCTGATTCTCCACTCTTTTCTTTCCATCTTCAGGCGCTGCAATAAAGTTTCTATTAGTGTCTTATCTGAATTATCGATGCTATAAATGCTTCACCTGCTTTACCTGAATCCCTCAGCCGGTGTCGGTTGTAAAAAACTGGTGGACATCCCCATCTCTCCAGTCCCCGCTGTGCTACAAGTATAATCAAAAAGCTCTAAACGGATGCAGATAATTTGTTTTCTTGATTCTTACATTCAGACACAAACAACATAAGACAGAGACTCACCTGAAAGGGAAGGAGAGGATGTTTCCTGTTTCAGCGGGGGTGAAATAATCCTCCTCAGTCCCAGAGATCCAGTTGGGAGCTCCACGGAGAACGCTGAAGCGGTCGTCTCTGGTTCAGGTGTCTGCTCCTTTACTTGTAATCTTTTACAGGGAGTAATTCTTCCTGCTCTGGGTCTGGAGTCTGTAGAGCCCATTGTTTTTCTCTTAATCCAAAAATGTTCTTAGTTAAACTGGACTGTGGCACCTTTCTGATATGAGTCCTCAGCATGCAGAAGGTCAACCACGGTTACTAACTTTTACTTTGCGCTGATTATTCTAGAATGAAGTGAGGTTCCTCCCACAAGAAAGAAACCTTTTAAAAGATTCCATTTGATCCTAAATAAACTTTGCTTCACTGTCTGAGTATAAAAACCCAAGAATCACCTTTGGTTAAAACACCAGTGTGAACTCCATCCCCTCTTTGCATGTTTTCTGTCATTATAAGGATTTTGGTTTCTATGGTAACGCTCCCTGTTGGTTCCTCTGTAACTCATAAGTTAATGCTTCAAAGAACCTGTTATGTCTCCGAACCCCCTTTGGTTTAAGAAAACCCAGAGGGGAGCAGGCTCATTAGAAACAGTGGCTCAATAAAATAAATGATCATGAAAGCATAAAAAGACAAACTGTTAACAGTTTCCTTATTATTTAATTTATTGTTAAATATTTACGGAAGGTTTGTGTTTTCCAGACCTTTTCCTCTACTACCTAATTCTGTCATCAGCCATGCAGTTCCATGACTTCAGGCTTGGTAATCTGTCAGCCTTGTTACCCTGACTGGCAAATATTTCATTGTGTTTATTAAAAATGTTACCCTGAAGTTCTGCAGACACGCTAGTGCTGCACAAAGACTAAATCCTGGCATCTCCACAGTAGAAACAGACGTATTTCAAATCACACCAGTAAAAGTCCTTGAGCCACTATAAGGTCACACAAAAATTTGAACTCATCACTTATTTTCTCTCTTACCTAAAATTCTTCATTTATTATTGGCTGACACTGAAGTTACATTCTCTGGTTGAAGTCTGTTGTCATTATCCAGGTGAACATTAGAGCTCACACTCCTTCCACATCATTGAATTAATTGTGTTAAAATGTCACAAAAGCTGTTTAGGTGAAACTGTCCCATCAGCAAATGGCTCATTAGAGGCTTCAGCTCACTGATTGCACTCCAAAATGATGTGTGTGTGTGTGTGTGTGTGAGCGTGCATGCATATGTGTGTGTGTGAGCGTGCATGCATATGTGTGTGTAAGAGTGTGCGTGCATGTGTGTGTGTAAGCGTGTGCGCGCATGTGTGTGTGTGTAAGCGTGTGCATGCATGTGTGTGTGTGTGTGTAAGCGTGCAGTATGTATGATTGTGTGTGCATTCGTGCATGCATGTGCATGCATGTTTGTGTGTGTGTGTGTGTGTGTGTGTGTGTGTGATAGAGACAGACAGAGCCAATGTAGAATTAACTTACTGACTCGTTTGTCATCCCAGAAACACTATTTTGACTTATATTTAATTAATTACATTTTCCTTTGTTATAACATCTGGATTGAATTGATTAAAACGGCTGTTTTATTCAAAATTTGGCAAAAAATTGTGAAATGTCAAGACCTGCTAAGACTGGGTAGATCGTTAATGTGGGAGCAGTTTTTTTTTCACTCCTTTGGACATGGAGGCCATCCAGCAGCTTCCTAGGTGACTCTGATAAAAATATTTCTGAAAAATGGCTTCACATTTTTCTAATGATCAAAAACGACGGTGCTTTAGTAACATGTATGTGGTCCTCTTACACTTAGAGAAGTTTTTTTAAACCTTTTTTATAAAACCAAAGGAGCCTGTACATCAAGCATAGAATCGTTTCAACTCTTGTAACACAACTCAGTAAAACACCAGTTCATCTGGTTTGGATTAAAATAATTAGAAATAAACCAAGACAAACTGGTCCTGCTGAAAATTTATATTCACAGAATACAGCATGTCAGGAGAAGCCAGTCAGCTCTTGCTTTAGCCATGTGCAGAACATCAGAGCGAGTATTTCAAAAAATAAATACCACTTTTTTGGTTTGTGTTCTCTCCCCTTCTTCTCTGAAGTGACAGATCTGCAGTTTCATTTCAAGTTGTTGCTTCCCAAGTCCTGTATTGGAAGTCTGTGAAGCAAGTTTTCTACTGCAGCTTCAGGATGAAGCAGCTTGTAGCTGTGTTACAGGGGTTTGTGCAGCCAGGGGTGTGTCCAGGGGGTGGCCTGGGGTAGCACATGCCACCCTTGGAATCTGATTGGCCACCCCACAGAATTTCTTTTAAATACTTTTCCACAAAAAGCTTGGGGTAAAAAAAGAAAAGGCATAACCATTGGTGCCACCCATGCACAAAGAAGTGCACTACCTGGGCCACCCCATTTTAAAAAATCTGGCCACGCCACTGTGTGCAGCGGTGTCATGCTAAAGGAATGGAGACCGTGCCGTTTGCTCGGCTGCGGCTTCGAGTGTTGACGCTGGATTCTGTCAGCTCTTCCCCTTGCTCCTCGGACTTCTTGTCAGCAATGTTGGCGAAGAATTGCAGCGTGACGGAGTCCCACTCCTCCGGCAGCAGCAGGAGAAGGAAGCCGAGGCAGATGATGCAGGTCGCCGCCAGTCGCACCACACTGAAGATTACCTCATGTTTCAAAACATCCACGGCTTGGCAACGTGATGAAGAGACAAGTGGGATGGGGCAAGGATAAGGTTGTGGATGGAGACGGATAAACGAAAACAAATTAATTACATGAAGTAAGGTAAACCGCTACAGATGTAAGGGATGAGTCCAACAAATACGGATTATGATCAGCTCAGACAATCCACTCTGCCTTAGTGGTGGTCAGGAGCTCTCAGACAAGTTACTGTAACCCGCTGACCTTGGTACTGTCTTCAGTGGTTAAAGAAAATAACTTGTCCGCAGGCATTTACTGTCGCCTTGGCAACCTGATCCTCCCTTAGTGGGATGATAGCTGCAGGGTCTGTTTTGGCACATTGATGATTGGATATCAAGAAAAAGAGAGGAAGACTTGCTGAGTAATCTGTTTGCTCTAGTTGTCCTTAGTGCTGACCCTACAATACAGTTACCCCAGTACGTGTGGCCATTTACCCCCTTTTCTCAGAATTCAGTGAAAGGGGGAAAATAATGACATTTTTAAAGTTATAATAATTCTATGGTTGATAGTAAACATGTTTATGGAGATCTTTTCACACAATCCTCCTCATAAAGCCATTTCAGCAGTTTTATCCTTTACAGTTTGATCTGCTTCAGGGCTCTGTCACTTTAAGAAAAACAGCTGGAGTGAGGCCCACCCATCCCTCGCTCAGGCTGCTATAAGCTGAGAAGCTCCGATATGTGGGAGGGGCTCAGAGTAGAGCCACTGCTCTTCCAGCAGCTGCTCCCTCTTGCACATGGTTGGTTCCATTCTAATTTCCCCATTTGTGACATGACAAATAGGGTTGTTTTGAAACAGCTTGTTTATTGGATCAGACACTAACAGGAAGAGAATGGACCAGGTTTTAGCATCAGCAGAGACCCACGTGTCAGCACAAAAGAATCCAAAAGGGGAGTTTTGCATATGTCCCCTTTAACTCATGGAGGTATGCTAACCAGTAGAATAAAGGTAAGGATTACCTGCATTACCCGGCACACTTAGCAGTGTCCCAATGGAAATGAGGATGGGGTAAGTCAGCACCACTCCTACATGGACCAGAATGTTGAACACTGAAAAAGACGTGGAAGAAAGATTCGCAAGTTTGAGTGAATTCAAGTCAAAACTGCATTTATTTATGTGACTGAAATGGCAGCTGGGAGATTTTAACGGAACAATCATACAACCAGTCATTATAAACATTCCCTTCAATGAGTTTTCTGCACCTTTCTTTGATTCCTCATAGACATTGTGACTTAGACCAATCAGAACACCGATACATTTTGGGTTTCTTTTGTCATTTCTGACTTTTACATTTAAGCCCGGTGAATAAATAGAAACAGCAAAAAATATCCCCGACAGTTAAGACTAATCCAAGGGCATTGGCCCCCAGGGGGTGCCCAAGGCCACCTCCTGGGCGATTGTTGCCCCCCCCCCCCCCCCCCCCCCCCCCCGCGCCGAGGTAGATTTAAAAAACTTAAATGTAAAAACCAATTAAAAAACATAGTAAGTAAATAAATAAATCATAACAAAAACAAACACTTTACTGCTGCTCACCATTTTTAAGAGTTTTCTAAATATTTCAAGACAGCAACAAGTAGATTAAACTATTTTAAAATGCTTAAACAACAAATATTTAAATGAAAATAAATGAAATTGAATAAATGCTTTATTTTTCGAATTTTTTTGTAACTCATATTTGAGGTAAATGTTTTGGCTAGTGATGGGATTTATGGCTCTTTCATGGGAGCCGTTCATTAGTCGGTCATTTACCTCAAAGAGCCGTTCAAAAGACTGGCTCCTTTGAACGAAGTGAAGCCAAGAGAGCGGGGGTGGTGGCAGGGGGGTATTAAGAGCAACGTGTTCCTGCGGTGTCCGTGAGGGCGCACGGGGTGGGTTAGGGTTCCTCCTACGTCTGTCACAGCGGTGGGTGGGGTTTGAGCGGGTGCACTTTACCGACTACAGGGACTCGGCTCTCATCGTTCACTTAGAAAACCCGTTCAAAAGATTTGATTCGTTCGTGAACGTCACCTCACTAGTTTTGCTGCTGATTGTCTGTTGATGATAAACATTGAACAAGCATACAAGGCACATCCAGAGGCTAAACTTTCCCAGAGTAACAAGGACACATTTGGAGCACCATCCTCCCTGAAGGTTCCCAGGCCCCACCTGGCCACCCCCATGAAAACGTCTGGAGGTCCCCTGCATCAGAGGGTAGTAAGAAATGCTTTTCTCACCCAGCCACAGTCCCGCCAGTCCACACAAGTAGCCCCAGGGCATCGAAGACAGCGAGCCCAGGTGCTCTATCCTGGTGAAGTAGAGGATGAGGGGCACACAGGAGATGAAGATGAGGTTGAAGAAGCCCATTGTGGATAGAAAATGAGCTACTTCTCCAAGGTTGGCACTGCCAAGGAACATCTTGAACAGCACCTAGAAGGCGACGGGCTTTAAGAATCTCAAACTTTTCTTTTGTCAGTGGAGAAAGTTTTTACTGCATGTCCGACCTTATAGAGAGCTGAGGTGGAGGCAGAGCCCACGGCCAGTGCCACACCCACAAAAGAATCGCCATGGAAGCCATCAGCATAAGCCATCATCACAATGCCTGTGATCGCCATGATGGCTGCAACAATCTGTCGGTGGAAATTCAGAGACATCAGCAACGTGCAACAAAGTCATGTGACGTAAAAGTCTCATTTTCCCCACAGACCCGAACTCCCATGAAGCGATCCTTGAGGACGATCCATGACAGGAGAAAGACGAAGGCCTTGTGGCAGCAGTAGAGAGCCGAGACATCAGTGGAGGTCAGTTTCTTCAAGGCTAAGAGATACAGGTAGTTGGTCAGAGTCCACAGGATTGAGAAGGGTGCCGTCCTCTTTATGAAAAGCTTGAGAGTCATTCCGTCCTCCCCAAAGAGTCTGCTGCACTCCCTGTCGGACAGAAGCATCACACTTAAGTAAGAATGAGTCCATGCTGATGAAGCAACACCAACACGTTTTAACACTTTAAGCCATTGCTTTCAAGGTGGTTTCAGTGCTTCTTAAAGATGTGGAACACTTGATTATTCAATAGATTTTCAGTGAGGGTAAAAAAAATCACCAGTGCACCATTTCTAGGAACTAGAAGTGAGCCACATCACAGCTGAGCTTCAGATGGCAGGATCTGGAGTCTTATTTCCTGATATTTGGAAATATCATCCCAGATTGGATAACAGCAACGCGACTCTATCACTGACTTGCAACGTGGATGTTTCATCTCCACAATTAACACAAGTTTGAAGGAGTTCTGCTGTGTGGTGAAGCTGCTGATGCTAACGGCTAGTGCAACAAGATGTTGTTCCCGCGGAGAAACTAATTGAGACACAGTTTTAAGATGAGTTTTTGTCACTTTCTTGCACTTTTAGCAGTTTTTTAAAGTTTTACCTGAATTTCTGAATGGGGGTTTGCTTCTCCCGTGTGGTAAAAACGTGCCCCGAGTAGTAGATAGGGAAGATGAGGATGTTCCAGTTACTGCTGAACCAGGAGATGAAGAAGGGACAGGAAAATGACTGGAAGGTCAGCTTCACCACCTGAGTGGTACCCACCCATGAGGAGGAAATGCACAGCACCATCAAAAGACCCCCCAGCACCTTCAGAACCGTGTTGGCACAAGTGTGGAAGGATCGGGTCTCGCTGCTGGTCTCACTGCCCGGCGTCTCCGCCCGGGAATCCAAACCATCCTCTCCTGGGAAAGAGGAAGACAACAAATACAGTAAAAGTAGAAATCTGAACAAACTATGCATCTGTTTCGCTGACTCTCTGGCTGGCGTTTCATCACACTTTGTAATAGCTTCACAATGCATCTCCATTTGCAGAAGCACCAAAGACAGCCTGTTATTGTCAAAAACAGATACCTCATGATGCTGCATTTTGTCCAGCTGTTGTATCCAGGTGTGCAAAGAAACCTGATGCCCATGAAAGCAGGTGTAAATCTAACCACATGACATTCCACGAGGAAGTCACACCAACCTTGGGACTGTTTGTATGGAGATAGATGGACAGACAAGGGCGTTACTTTAATCTTGTATGAGTGATGCAGATCTGGCCTCGAGCCCTGGTGGATTACAGGAACAAGTGCCTTCTGGACATGCCGTGAAAAACCCAAACTGCTGCATCTACAAGCATTTCTGAAGAGACCTCAGGCTTTCTTTCTTTTTTTCTCTCTCTACTGTGTGATCAATTTACACCCAGACAGGAATAAACAATGACGCGTGCTAGCTCCCTCTTTGCAAGCTCGGCCATTTCCATCATGGCTGCAGATGCTACTGCCCTGCAGATGATGGGACCTCCTCGCTTCAGAAGCAGAAAACCTCAGAGGGACTCATTATTCTGTCTCAACCGTTTGTTCCTCAGGAAAAAAGTAATAAAGGAAATGGAAATGTTTTCCTTTTTTTTCAAATGCCACCAAGTTTTGTGTCAAAAGTAATCAGACAATAGCCTCATATAGGTGCTCTGAAAACATGCTAAATTAGCTTTAGCTTTCTTTGAATTGCATTAGATGTTTGCTGGCACACAGTCACACTGTTGTGTAGATGGATTTTGTTGCATCCAAGGGATTACAAATGAGTTATTACAGATGAATTCACATCTTTTGCAAACATGGATCCTTTTCTCAGAAGCTTACACTGCAAAAACTGATTTTCAAGAAAGTTAAAAAAAAACTGTTTTTAGACATTTTATCTTGTTTTAAGTCTAAAAAGAAAACAAAAACTTTCTAATCTGCAAAAATGTACTACTTGGAATAAAGTAAGCATTCTTTAATATGATAGGATTTTCTTGTTTTTAGTGAATAAAATTATGCTAATGGGAGCAGTACATGTTGCTTGGCTAGAATTCTTAAAACAAAAAAAAATTAATCTAACATTAGTTTTACATTTCAGATTAAAACTAAGATAAAATATCTAAAAACAAGGCTTTTTGTTACTATCCTGGAAATCAGTTTTGAAGTGTATGTTTGGAAAATGGAGAATTCCATTTTGTAAACATGCTAAACTATAAAAAGTTGTGTAAATTCTTTGCTACAAAATACAGACAAGCTAAAATAAAATAAATTTTAATGCAATTTAAGTAGTAAAAAATACAGTCAATTATCTAAAAATTATGCAGTTTTTTTTTCTTTTTGTGATTGCACCTGAAGGCAAACACCAAGTAAAATTTTGCTTTGCATCCATAAGAAGTGGAAAATTTTCAGCTAAAACCAATTTTTTTTTCTGCAAGATAATCTGGGAATTGGTCTAATTACATACAGTCACAGCAACCATCCCTAATCAACCTAATGAGCCTGCTGATAAATGCTGTTTTCATGTGAGAGATCAGAAGCTTTAGCATTTTAAATCCGTCTTTCTCATCTAACAGGATCATTGGTTTTAATAAATGGATGCAAGCTTCTTTGTCCTGAGGTGAAAAATCAAAACTCGGTCTGGTTAACAAAGCAGTTCTTGCTTTTTTGTCGAATTAGACTGAATAATTAAAATTTAAATATGATTAAATAATAGATGTCAATGTATTTTTTAAATAAATCAATCTTAAACATCTGTCTTCTGGATATTGCCAATAAAACTTTATTATTAAAACCATCCAGTAAGTCTCAGAACTTTAAAATGTGTTTGAAATAAGGGTAATTATCCATCCATCCATCCATTTTCATCCATCCATCCATCCATCCATCCATCCATCCATCCATACATTTTCGTCCGTTTATCCGGAGTCGGGTCGCGGGAGCAGCAGCCTAAGGCGAGAGGCCCAGACTTCCCTCTCCCCAGCCACTTGGGCCAGCTCCTCCGGGGGAATCCCGAGGCGTTCCCTGGCCAGGTGAGAGACATAGTCCCTCCACCGTCTCCTGGGTCTACCTTTAGGTCTCCTCCCGGTTGGACGTGCCCGGAAAACCTCACCAGGGAGGCGTCCAGGAGGCATCCTGACCAGATGCCCGAGCCACCTCAACTGGCTCCTCTCGATGTGGAGGAGCAGCGGATCTACTCCGGGCCCCTCCCGAATGACCGAGCTTCCTACCCTATCTCTAACGGAGAGCCCAGCCACTCTACAGAGAAAACTCATTTCGGCCGCTTGTATCCACGATCTCGTTCTTTAGGTCACTACCCAAAGCTCATGACCATAGGTGAGAGTAGGAACGTAGATCGACCGGTAAATCGAGAGCTTCACCTTTTGACTCAGCTCTCTCTTCACCACGACAGACCGGTACAACGGCCGCATCACTGCAGACTCAGCACCAATCCGCCTATCGATCCCATGCTCCATTTTTCCCTCACTCGTGAACAAGACCCCGAGATATTTGAACTCCTCCACTTGGGACAGGACCTCATCCCTGACCCGGAGAAGGCTTTCTACCCTTTTCCGAATCAAGACCATGGTCTCAGATTTAGAGGAGCTGATTCTCATCCCAGCTGCTTCACACTCAGCTGCGAACCGCTCCAGCGAAAGCTGAAGATCACGTTCTGATGAAGCCAACAGGACCACATCATCTGCAAAAAGCAGAGATCTGATCCTCAGACCACCAAAACAGATGCCCTCCACACCTTGGCTGCACCTAGAAATCCTGTCCATAAAGGTTATGAACAGAATCGGTGACAAAGGGAAGCCTTGGCGGAGTCCAACTCTCACTGGGAACGAGCCCGACTTACTGCCGGCAATGCGGACCAAGCTCTGACACCGGTTATACAGGGACCTAACAGCCCGTATCAGAGGGCCTGGTACCCCATACTTCCAGAGTACCCCCCACAGGGCCCCCCGAGGGACGAGGTCAAAAGCCTTCTCCAAGTCCGCAAAACTCATGTAGACTGGTTGGGCAAATTCCCACGCACCCTCCAGGATCCCCCTAAGGGTATAGAGCTGGTCCAGTGTTCCATGGCCAGGACGAAAACCACATTGCTCCTCCTGAATCTGAGGTTCAACAATCTGACAGACCCTCCTCTCCAGAACCCCTGAATAGACCTTACCAGGAAGGCTCAGGAGTGTGATCCCCCTCTGCGGTCCCCCTTTTAAAATAAGGGAGCCACCACCCCAGTCTGCCAGTCCAGTGGGACTGCCCCCGATATCCACGCGATATTGCAGAGCCACGTAAGCCAACACAGCCCCACAACATCCAGAGGAACTCCGGGCGGATCTCATCCACCCCTGGAGCCTTGCCACAGAGAAGCCTTTTAACCACCTCAGTGACCTCAGCACCAGAGATTTGAGAGGCCAATCCAAAGTCCCCAGACTCTGCTTCCTCACTGGAAGACGTGTCGGTGGGATTGAGGAGGTCTTCAAAGTATTCTGCACACCGATCCACAACGTCTTGAGTAGAGGTCAGCAGCACACCGTCCCCACTATAGATAGTGTTGGTAGCGCACTGCCCCCCCCCCCCCCCAGGTTCCGGATGGTGGACCAGAATCTCCTCGAAGCCATACAGAAGTCTTGCTCCATGGTCTCACCAAACTCCTCCCATGCCCGGGTTTTTGCCTTAGCGACCACCCGAGCCGCGTTCCGCTTGGTCAGCTGCCTCTGGAGTCCCACAGGCCAAAAAGACCTGATAGGACTCTTTCTTCAGCTTGACAGCATTCCTAACCACCGGTGTCTACCAGCGGGTTCGGGGGTTGCCACCCCGACAGGCACCGACAATTCTGCCACCACAGCTCCGGTCGGCCGCCTCAACAATGGAGGCACGGAACAGGGTCCATTCAGACTCAATGCCCCCCGCCTCCCCCGGAACATTTTGGAAGTTCTGTCGGAGGTGGGAATTGAAGCTCCTTCTGACAGGAGACTCTGCCAGACGTTCCCAGCAGACCCTCGCGATACGCTTGGGCCTGCCTGGTCTGACCGGCATCCTCCCCCACCATCTGAGCCAACTCACCACCAGGTAGTGGTCAGTTGACAGCTCCGCCTCTCTCTTCACCCGAGTGTCCAAGACATGCGGCCGCAGGTCAGATGAAACAACAACAAAGTGGATCATCGAGATGCGGCCTAAGGTATCCTGGTGCCAAGAGCACATATGAACACCTTTATGTCTGAACATGGTGTTCATTATGGACAATCCATGACTGGCACAGAAGTCCAATAACAAAACACCACTCGAATTCAGATCAGGCAGGCCGTTCCTCCCAACCACACCTCTCCAGGTCTCACTGTCGTTGCCCACGTGAGTGTTAAAGTCCCCCAGCAGAACGAGGGAGTCACAGGAAGCAGCACTCTCCAGCACCCCCTCCAAGGTCTCCAAAAAGGGTGGGTAGTCTGAACTGTAGTTTGGTGCATAAGCACAGACCACAGTCAGAACCCGTCCCCCACACATAGGCGGAGGGAGGCTACCCTCTCATTCACTGGGGTAAACCCCAACGTACAGGCACCAAGATGGGGGGCAACTAGTATGCCCACCCCTGCTCGGCGCCTCTCAGTGGGAGCAACTCCAGAGTGGTAGAAATCAGGGTTGTTAATTAATTTAAAACATTTTACTCCTCGCTCTTTTTTGTGGAACAGTGTGCTGCTTAGAAACTCACTCTTCAATCCTCTCTGCGTTTAATCTGCAGCCCTGACGCTGCACGCCAGCACCAGTGATTGATGGAGTCCTGCTGAATCCAATAAGAAGCCACCAGTTTTTACCCAAATTAGGCTGAACGCTCTGAGGAAGGATTGATCAGATGCATCGTTCTGAGAAGCTGAAGGTGGGTGGAAATGTTGGGTTGGTTGTGAGAAAAGCTGATTTTTCTCTATTTTTGACAGAGCACAAGTAACTTGCTGCTTATTGAATCAACACTCAAACAGCAAAATCCAACATAGTTACAGTAAATTTTATTTATTTACACATCTGATGCTTCTGTGCATGCGATGCCTTCGGGAAAACTACGTGACCACAGAAATAAAAGTACTTTAACATTTTTAACTAGCTTATTTCTGCTAATAATTTAAAAAATGTAAAGGCTAACAGAGTTTTTAGTCCTCTTAATGCTTCGATTTACCTTCAGAGTTGGGGCTGGTCAGGACTTGGGTGCTGTATGAGCTGAGAGGAACCACTCGGGCCGAATGCTTCTTCATTTTCCACTGGGGGCACCACACACTGTCCTCCAAGCGGAAGATGTGAGTGTGTGTGTGTGTGTGTGGGTGTGTGAGAGCCCAGGCTGCTGCAGCTGCACACTCAGCAGCTCCTCCTGCTAGTGCATCCTCAGTCTCCCAACTCCCCCGCTTCTTCTTCTGCTCCTTGAAACCCCCGTCCTACGGCGGATCAACTCCTCATCCCAACACTTGCATCCAGACTTTCTGCTTCTCTCCCTCCGTCTGGACGGTGGCACTGCTCAGTGGAGACACCTCAGCAGAAGTCTATCCAAGTGAAGACTCCACAGTTGCATTAAGATGCCCCAGTCCAGCATCACCACCGTCTCTAAGGGTGACGGTGCGTGTGTGCGTGTGTGTGTGTGTGTGGCACGGTGCATTCGCTCCTCTCATCTCTTTCCATCCTTCCCCCTCAATCCTTGCTGTTTCTCTTCCCCTTTTCCCTCCTCTTCTCTTGCTTCCACAAATCAGCAGCTTTGTTTGGAATGTAACCAAGCAGCGCTGCGTTAGCTCCGCCCTCTTTACCTGACCAGACACCCCCTCTCCATTATTCTGCACTCTTATCTTCTGTCTGTCTGACTTTTCTCGGCTCATCCTCTGCTCTTGACTACTCCTTGAGAGTCAGCTGCCTCTTGTTGCCTCCACCACTGCCACATCAAGCATTAATAACAGCATTATTCAAATGTAGAGTTATTTACTTTCATTCATGGTAAGTTCGGAGGCATTTCCTGTTAACGGGGTATTTTCTACATTAAATTTTAACCATGTGAGGATGCTCTTGCAGTAAAGGAATTCAATATGTTTATTTTTCTCCTGCCACATTAGATAAACTCTCCCATCGAAAGCTTTATGCCTATCGCGTCAGACTCAGCACTGCGGTCACAAGTTTCCATTTCAAGAAAAGCCCTCCAGTCATTCGAGCTCTATTTACAGCTCGTTTACTTGAAGATTTAATGGGGTGATTTGTTAGCGGGGCTTCTACTTCATCAACATGTCAGTGAAGAGTGTTTGTGGGCAAACACAAGAGGAAAACGTGGCACTTTGATACAAGAACCTGGTAAATGTGCTGCAGAACGGACAGAATCAGCCTCTAAATTACAGATAAAAGCTAATTTATGCATTTGAGGGGAAAATTCTATATAGTGCATTTCTTATCTTTTTTGCACTTTGAAACATATTTTATCCCCGTGGTCAAGCTGAACGTATGGATCCAGTGAGGAGGGTTAAATTTAAAAATAGCTTTAATGATGATAGGAGGCAACAACTAGACAAGGAGGAGGTAAAACCACCCAGTCAGCAGAGCCTCAGGGGCTAATCGCTATCGGATTAAGAGACATACTTGGAGAACAGGCACCACTGGTGTGTGTGTGTGTGTGTGTGTGTGTGTGTGTGTGTGTGTGTGTGTGTGTGTGTGTGTGTGTCAACCTCAAATATTACATCAACATTTTAAAGTGGAAGTTTAAGCTTTATATTTGTTTGTCTGCAGGTCAACAAAACTGCAAACTTGCATCTTCAAGAAACACGTCAGAGTTTAATCAACACCTTTTGTAAGTGTTTCAATAAATAAACACAAGCTGTCATTTTTGTCTCTAACAGATGAATTTTGAGTAACAGATCAGTCTGAATGCATTACAGATCAAAAGATGAAACAGCCCAGCATCCTGGCTCTGTACCTCCATAGCAACAGTGCTTCTCCAGGACACACAGATGCTCTCGGGCTCTATTTATCATTCAGATGAACCAAAAGCTCGTCGGTTAATAGTAGAAGGCTCTTTTGTCTTTGGTTCTTGTCACGTGTCATCGAGCAGGAGGACACAACAGAGAGCTCTGAACAACCTGAATATATTGTGTCTGTCTGGCGGCTGTTTTCTTAAAGTTGCACACAACACCAGGTGGGAACACTGGGAAACGAGGACATCTGGTGGTGAAACTTGGTAATGAATGAAAGAAAGGTGATTTAAATGAACAAAGCAATTATGAAAAGATTGCAGTCATAGAAAAGACTTTAAAATATTCCAATAAACCCTAAAATTAGACTGAATCAGATTATTCAGCAGTTTTGTGTCATAGACATAAAGGTGAAAGCTTAAAAAAACACACAAATGGATTTAATGCACTTCACATTTCACTATATTAGTTTTTATTATAAGGATTTATTCTTGGCATTTTTCAGGCTTATTTAATGATAAAATTTTATTGTTGTAGATTAATGTTGCTTTTAAAACCTTCCAAGCCAACCATGTAACATTTTAATTCACCTGCTTATGTAAACATCACATTTAGGAAGTCATCTATTTTAATATGTACATATGAAACAAGAAGATGAGAATAAAATAAAATTGGCACATGCCACTGAACTAATGAGATCTTCCACCAGAGGGCAAAAGAGAAACTTAGGTGCATCAAATATGAGACTACCAGTAAAATGACTTAATTATACCCAGTTTTAAATAGATAATACATGAGCCATCTTGCATGACCCTGCAAGGATAAGCAGCTATAGCTGATGGATGGATGAGCCATGCTGTGGCACTTTAAATATCGGAAGAATTCGCGATAAAAAGCGACAGAACCAGCTGTTCCTGTTCTCACATCACTTCAGTTTGGTTCGGCTGTTGCACTAATTGACCACAAGATGGCAGTCTTGGCCTCAAATGTGAATAGAATGCCAAAAGCCTCAAAAATCACTGAACAAAACTATTTCTTACAGCTTTACAGCACGCACTTTTTATGTCAACAAAGTCATTATATAGCATTCCTGAAGCAACAAATCCACAACAAGCAGCACAAGAATCAGTGCAGCTGCACTGAGGCGTCAGCACAGGTTCTGGAGAGAAATTGCCTCCATTACTTGCAGGTTGAGCTGCTGAGGCTTTGCACAGAAGACCCACAGAAGCTATTCAGGCAAAACTCATATCCCATTCGTTGGGCTGGTTATAAATAGCACAGAGTGAGCAGGCTTGGGATCAGGACAGTTCAAAATATGTATGTGTGGAGAGTGTTTCAGAGAGAAAGATGAATAAAGGTTCATTTGCAATCAAAATAGTCAAGAAGTTCTTTCAGATTTGCTACTGGAATGGTCGTTTTACAGATTTAACATTCATTTCTGCTTTTTCCGTCCTTTCCATATAATTTCCCTTAGACGTGCTGCTGTCATGCTGTGATGCCAGCGGTGAACAGCACCGACTCAGAGCGAGGTGAGCAGGGATTAAAAGTACCTGTCATCCTTCAGCTCTGTGGCTTTTTACCCAGCAGGGTGCGTGCAAGAACCAGACAGACATTCAAAAGGAGTTTCTGCAGAAAACGATCACAATAACTTCCAGGAGTCTGTCTGATCCTGCAAGTGTTCTGTACTTGAGTTTGCTTTATGCCAGCTGTTCTGCTCAAAATGAGAAATGAAATAAAAATACTGCATCCAATTTGCTCCAAATTCCATTTAAACTAAAAGAAAATCTCTAAATGCAGTTCAGACATCATCTAAATCAACACAGATGGCAGGTGGCAATAATAACAAACTGGCAAAGGGATCATACTAAATATATCATTAACCCATGGGCTGGAGGAACCTTCTGTTTGGTTTAGGTGCTTTGCTGCTTTTTGCCTCAGTGAATAAATGACCCTCACCAGGTTAAGAAATGCAATAAAAGAATAAAAGAAACAAATAAATGTAACTGAGATGATTTTAGGGGTCAAGGAATCACCATGCTCTTCAAAAATAAATACATTTAGAGAAAACAGGCTTTTTAGATTTGCGCAAGAGGCAAAAATCTTCCCCGATGGATGTTTTCTGCAGATTCTGAAGGGATATCTGACCAGAGAAATGGGAAAAGTCCTTTAAATCATTCTCCCCTGTAGCTTCCATAACCTTTGGACAGCTCTTACAGTCTCTATTTGCTCTTTGAATTTGAAATTACATCCCAGATGACAGCCCATCCTTCAGTTTCCCCTCCCGTAGCACGCCTCGCACATTACTATGGACACGCAAAGGCCTGTGAAACAGAAACAATCTATTTCATGAATAATTTATCTATTGTGAGATTAAAACGTCAAAATACAAGTTCCATCAGACACAATCTAAGCATTTTTTTTCTTCAATGTAAAGCTCATTAATCTGGAATTGCAAGAAGAGATTAAATTATTCTCAAGAAACGTGTCATGGTTAATCTTCTGCAAAGTGACACCTCTGATAAACACAAGGGTCGTTAATGAGAGGCAGGCTTATTTAGTTCTCCTCCTCCAAGAATCCATCCAGGCACTCCAAATTAATCTGAAATGAGCCTCAGATGGAGCCGCTCTCCAGCAAATGAGAGCCGAACCACATTCTCTTGAGGATTTAAACAGTTTTGTCAGACACAACGCGACAGAAATGTCATGTCTGAGCCGCCGAGGCACAACACTCAGACGTGCACCTCTGTCGTTTTTGCGTTTCCAAGTCGAGGATTTGTCGCAGAGCTTGTGCAAGAAAACAGGGTGTTAAGAAATTTACAAAAATCGTTAATTTTTGTTTTTTTGATAAAGAACAATTTAAAAAATGCAACAAATTATGCAACAGGGAGGTGAGAGGAAATGCCCCAGGCTCCTCTGCACAGTTTATACATATAAAAACTTTATTAATCACCATCACAAATCAGAACAATGGACATTATATCCTCCTGTTGTAATCCCACTGGACAAAGCAGTAATGTCAGTGGAGGGCAAGTTTTTGAAGATCATCTCTGAACAAAGTGCACCATCAGCTCTCTCCTCCAATCCCTGCTATTGCCTTCCTGCATAAAGCCCCACAAGTCACTCAGATCCACAACTGGTGCTGGATTTAATGCATTTGGAAACATTCACATGCAACATCCGAGTGTGTAATTTTTGCTGTTTAATTAGTTGTTTGCAGGATTTAGCAGGCCTGATGCAGATCAACTAATCAACTTTATAGAGACTGAAAGTTTGCTTGAGAGACGGATTTGCCTCCAGCTAACAGTGACAATGACTGATATCACGCTGCTCCTTAATAATCATCATTTGAAACTAATTAGCAGAGTTTGCATTAATAAATTGCTGTAAAATGCAATGAAATGAAAAATACATGCAATGTTTCATTTAATTGTGTGCACAAAAACGTATTTTGCAAATAAAACTGTCGCATCTGCGATTAGTGAAAATGTATTATTATTGTTACTATTACTATTATTATTATTATTATTATTATGTGCATGTTTATTTTCGCTCACTTCTGTGACTTGAGTATCCCGGGTTGTAGCCGTAGTAGCCGGTGATCCTCAGAATCCGGTCCTCGATGTCGTGCACGCCGTTGGCTGTCGCTTTGGGGCTGCCTTCCGCCAGGACAGTGCGGCTCGGCGTCGGCTTGCACGGTGAGTGTGTGTTCTTCAGGGGCTCCAGCTGGATGCAAGGCTGCTCCCCGCTCCCCGAGACGCTCTCGCTGCTGAACATCGCGGGTCCGAGTGAAAAGAGACCCGAATGAGTCCAGATCGCACAGAGAGAGAGAGAGAGAGAGAGAGAGAGAGAGAGAGAGAGAGAGAGAGAGAGAGAGAGAGAGAGAGAGAGAGAGAGAGAGAGAGAGAGAGAGAGTCAGAGTCCCACTGGGCTGCAGCAACAATTTGCAGCACCAGCAGGAGGAGGACATCCAAACACCTCCAGCATCTACATTCCTTCAGTGGTGCTCCAGGACGCAGAGCAAGGTTTTCACACTCAAGTGGCCTGGTGAACATCGACCACTAGGGGGCGTGACACTACCGTCACACGAGAAGAACTCCATCACAAACCCTGGTTTAAAAATATGAGGAAAAAATAAATAAATTCTTGGAAACATACACTACCGGTCAAGAGTTTTAGAACATCCCAATTGTTCCAGCTATTGCAGTTTAAGTCATTCAAGTCCAAGGAATAGCTTCAAATAGTGCAAAGTGAAGTGGCAAACTGCCAGAGGTTTGAAAAAAAAGGTAAGGTTACTCAAAACTGAAAAAAAATGTACATTTCAGAATTATACTAAAAGGCTTTTTTCAGGGAACACAGCCGTTCTGCAGCAATGGAGGTTGGTCAAGCTTTGAAAGCTGGTGCTACTAAATCCCACAGGTGTTCCTCCAACCTGTCTGGATTACTTACAACCTCCTCTGTATGCATGAAAGCAGTGTTGGAACACACTGTGGTACCATACCCTCGTGAGCATCAGTTGAACAGTATTGTACTGCAGATAATAGTGTGTTGCTACAAAAATGGCAAGAGAAAGGCAATTCACAATGGAAGAGAGACAAACCATCATAACACTTAAAAATGTAGGTCTACAGAGAAATTGCAAAGAAGTCTTGGTGTCA